TGACTGTTGAGTTTTCTGTGGGTGTGGTTTTCTCTGTTTCTCTACTTGTTTTTTAAATCTTACTCTTTATTACCATGTGTTTGCAGTACCTCCTGATGACATTCACTCTGGAGAGCTGCTATATGTACATACAACTTCTTAATTCTTTTCACATCCCATTCCCTTCTTCTGCCTAACCCTCCCCTCCCATCTCTTGTTCCATGTCTCATTTGAAAAAAACAAAATTATCCCTTAAGGCTTAGAATATGGTCACATTTCAGATATTTTCATTAAAAATATTCCATCAAATGTCCAAAATAATTCATAACCACCAAATCCAATAGTGTTTTTTAAAATTCTTCATTAACACATCAGATAGTCTTGTTCACCTTCTCCTAGGTGGTATTTGTCTCATTTAGTTTATTTTTTTCCAATCTGGAATAATTTCTCTACTTTATTAGGATTTATTTAGTCCTCCTTTTTTATATTTACAGATATTCCACTCATGATGCATGCTTTCTCATTTATATGTGGACTATATGGAAAACTGTTCAAATAATTCACCTAAATGAATCACCTAAATAAACATTAGACTCTGTTTTATTTTTCTGGTTTTGTATATGGAATGAACACATAGATGTTTTATTTTTCCCAGTGCTAAAGTGAAAGCTGTGATAATGCATAACAATGCTGGGAATGTCAGAAATGATCAGGGAGAAAGTAAAGCTCTTTGGACAACAACAGCAAAAATAATAAAACTAAATTATTCAGAAAAAAGATCAACACTCCTAAATAGCAACTATCCTTGTGGAAAGGGGTTTAGAGTTAATGCAGATTGTTCCTTGATTACACTGAGTCATTATGTTGTAAGCTACTAGGAGCAGAGTCCTATTCATCTTCATCATCTATGGTGATTGGCACTGAGTTTTATACATAATATGATCTCCACCAGTGTCTGCTAAATCGAATGTGGACTTCCAGCCAAAATTGCATTTATATAATGAAATATATGATAACGTTCCACTAAGTTTTTTTTTTCTAAAACGTATTTTGTATGAAATTCTTGCTGCTCGAGTGGAAGGAATGCTATATATAACACAGGGATATCAAATTTTGCAAAAATAGGAAAGTTTATAACAGCTACAAAAGCCCTGACTGTTTTTCCTTAACTCTCAGTGCTACAGAGCCCATCCTTATTGCACAAGCAAAGGAGTCAATAAATGGGAGAATTCTAATAAACATGTGTTACCATACCTCTCCTTTTGATAAAGGGAATTAGGTGTGGGCTTTATTATTAGAGAAAGAATGGTAAGTGTGGATGTGGTGAATTGACAGTTTGTCCCTCTCCCTTTAAAGGAGAGTCAGCTTTCTTGTCACTAGGAAAAAATACTGGACATTCATAACGTAAAGGAGGAGAGATTTATTTTGGCTCACAGCTTCAGTGTGTTCAGCTCGTGGTCATCTGGCTCCAAGGCAGAAACAGCACACGTCATGGTGGGACAAAGCAGCTCAAGCCACGGTGGCCAGCAAGAAGAGAGGGAGAAATGAGGGGCAGGGATACTCCTTTCTAGGTCATGTCCACAGTGACCTGCCCCTGCCAAAGGGGCCCCAAGGGGACATCTGAGATCTAAACCACAACACAGAGACGGGGGCTTTATCTGTCCCTTTTTCAAATCTCCTGAATTATATGTGAGGTGTGATGGCAACTCGGCAGCATAGAGCCATTTGTTCTAGTGATTTACAGAAGTCCTTTATTGATTATTTTATTTCGGATGCAAAGTTACCTGTTCGAATGCAAGAAAGGGGACGTAAAAGATGTCTGAAATCATCACATCCAAGGGGAATATCAGAGAAAGAAGAAGCACAAATACCTGCCTGGGGGGAATTTTCCTGCCAGTGAATATCTCAGGCAGGGCTCAGGGGAAACAAGCAGCTCTCTAAGATTTACTATACCTTAGAGTTGGGCAAAGTGGTGCAGGAAAGGGATTTCTACACCTGGCTTGCTTCTCTGCAACAGGAGAATCAAGATACAAATCCTCCAAGAGAAACAGAAAAGTCACCTGCTCTACAAAGTCTCCCACCAGTGGTCTTTCCACAGCCAAAAGAAGATGACAGTAGGAGTATAAAAGTGTCTGAGTTCAAGTAATATTTATTCCCTCAACATTGAGATGTTTAAATAGATTAGTCTACAAATCACTAAATGCTGAAGACATTGAAAGGGCCTTTGATACTGTTGATAGGCAATATTTAATTCTACAATCCTCTTCCCGATTTTAACTCATAGGAGGTGACTACTCAGTAAAGTTGAAAGCAGTTACTAAAATAAAATTATTTCACATTTGTAGACTGCTAAATTCAGGCTAGGCTATCAATGAAAACTACTCTATGTATCATGGAATTAGAGAATATTTTGCAAATATATCTGCTTTAGTATGTAACATTTTCTATATTCAAAAAGTGAAACTACAAAAACTATTTAATGACCTCAATACATAAGGTGAAGACTTGAGAGAGGTGGAGGATATATCTTAGGGATCAAAAAATCTTTGAGCAAGAAAAATATTTAGCTTCAAAACCATATAGTACACAACTAATTCATTTGTAAATTGTTTGCAAACAGGGTTTATAATTAACACGCAGCACATTCACAGTGGATTAACAAATTAATATACTCGTAATCAGTGTGTCCTTTAGTACTGACATGAACTATCTGTGATATTACTTATAAAATAAAAATAATAGATTTTATGGATTGCATTGTAGGTTCTTCTTAGTAAATGAAAAATAAAGCTTTAAGATTTCTTGCAAGAGGGAAGGTGACTTGAATCATGCTTTGGGTTACGATGCTTCACTGAGACACAATCCCATGTATGCTGGTTTAACTGTACAGGCTGAGTTTGTATTTCTGTTACAAAGTACAGCTATAGCCATACTACAGCTCCACTCTGCAGCAAATCTATGACGAGACTGTCTCAAATATATTGGGAACAATTTAGGAAAAGTCTGATATATTAACACAATCGTCCAATTGATAAAATGTAACTGTTTTGACTCAAAAAGCCATCTTTCTCAATGAATAACTGTATTTTTAAAGTTTCTAAAAACATTTGATTTATTTAGTTATCTGTCCACATCCATGGGTTCCACATCTATGGATCCAAGTAACCACAGATAAAAAATATTTAGAAAAAAATTACTGCATCAGTTCTGAATGTGTACAGACTGTTATTACTGCAAAAATGCTACAAAAATGTGGCATAACAAGTATTTCCATAACATTCAGGTTGTACAACATTATATATGTATGTGATTTGGATATCATTTAGATAATACAGCGGTATGTGCCTAGGTTATTTGCAAGTACTGCTGCAATGTCTTTAGGAGCTTGAGCACCTGTATATTTTGATATCTCTCCTAGAACTAATCCATAATTATCAAGGGAAAACTCTCTGTAACTAATACAACATAAGATTTCATATTACTAAAACCTATAAACATTAATTTAAATTCAAAATTTAAGTCACTTAATAAATGATTATTTTGTATTTCCTATCTCAAGCAATGCTTCTGAAAGTCCTTCTGCATATTCTCCTATTTTAGGTGACATGATTATTTTTAGTGCAGCTCAAAACCCTTCACAGATTTTGCCAACAACCTGTTTAACTGTTACATGCTTTGAATACGGATGACATATCAGCGTTCTCCGGTACTAGTTGGAAAGTTTATGAAAACATGGATTCATGGTGGTTTAGCCAATGCATAGTGGGGCTGAGGTTTTGCCCTGCTGACGCACTGTCAGGTAATGGTGGTGCCCTTAGTCTGGGCACCCACACACACTATTCAAGAACCAATACAAAGAGAAAGTAAATTGTTGATAAATATTCTGAGGCTTACTTACTTACTAGAAATAACTTTTAGGAAAAAAAGTCCACTAACATCCGTGTTGCAATAAACTTCAATAATTACTAATACAAAATACTTTTTGCTTACATATATTAGCAACTTTTTTTAGGTAATTAACAGACTACCAGTTCAAAATATGATGGATGCTGAAGAATCTCCATCTGTTTAATTTCGCTTTGGCAAAACACAATATTTGATGTGAAATACAGTAATATGAAGACCATAATATAAGTACGGCAATTAAAATATTCAGTCTTCCTGCACATGGGCACACATATGATACTGTGTTTTGGTAAACATTCATTGGGTTATGAAATGTTTTAAACACTCTTCCACCTAAGAAATTTCAAATCTCATATCAGACATATAAATCAGTTAAAAAAAAACAGGAGGACTCTGATTAGAGCTTTTGGTTAAAAACGTTACAGTATTTCCCACTTTACTAAAACCTAGTTACAATCATTGTGAAATCTCAAAACCTCAGCATATTTCTATTATTTGTAGATATACTTCAAACATATTTCTTATTCTTTGATTTCATAGTGCCTAGATATTTTATACTTAGTAGTGTGGGAGAAAAGTGTAGCACAAAACTGAACAACAGCAAAAATATTTTAAAAAACTAAAATATGTTTATAGGCTTGGGTGCCTTGAACTTTACACAAGATACTGTGATAGGTATACCCAATAAATTGGTATTTTCACTTACATTGCTTAATATTACATTGTGTAATTTGCATTTTATGTGAGTTTTTTCTTTTGTATGTGTGATATGTCTGATGTGTTTCACAAATTGGAAACTTATGTATAACTTAAAGTGCTTTGTATGGTGAAGAATTACCCAAAATTTTTATAGGTCTCACTAGAGAATTCTAATTATGAGTTCCATATCTTTAATCTTTGGCATTTTTCAAGGTCCGGTGTGAGCTGAGACACATTCTAGAGTGCAATCAAGGTAATGAGGCAGGCATTGGCCCACGATCTTGGCAATCATAAAAATCTCAAAATCACTTTCACATTTCATCCATACTTCAGTCATTGACCTCTACGCCTGACCTCTCCTGAAGATTTATAATCACGAAATTATTTTTATCATTTTCTTAAACTCATATACTTACAATCAGGAGGCATCTTTTCCATAAATACCGCATAATACTCTTTAAGGAGTTCAAAATTTTCCAGATTAATACTTTCTTGCAAAGAAACATCACCAAATCTAAAAATTAGAAAAAAGAAAGCAGTCATAAGTTTATAAAATATCTCTAAAAAGTAACACTTTTTTCTAACCTTTTCTTTTTCAATGGATGGCAATAATCTCTGAAGGAAGAGACTCTCTCACTTTTTAAGCTACGTTACACCATGGTGATTTTAAACAAATTCCCATCTCCACTGCCCCAGATTCCACCAACCGCTTTTGACAATACCAAAATAGTCTACATTCACAAAAGTGAAATAGATGAAACACCGTATGTAAAACATCATCCCCTGTGTCATACATAATTAATACTCAGTTGAAATCAGGTTTCCTACCCAACCCTGCACCTCCTTTGCAGGGCTCCATCTCTGCATATATAGAAAAACCTCTCTGTCACTTCTTCATCTTTCAAATCCTTCTCCAAAGCCAAGGCAACTTGGGGAGGGCTCCAGAAGACCAGGACTAGACACTGCACTGCACACCCTTGTGCCCACTGTTGGTGGCTCTAGGTACAAGTTCAGCCACACAACCCTGGGAGTGGTTGACTTTTGCACACATTTTTCTTCTTCAGTTCTCCACTTCTGTACCAGTGTCATCTCTCTTCTTCAAGGAAAAAAAAACCCAAAAAACAACTTTCTTCCCACATATCACTAAGGGTTGTCTTCTCTTTGAGAATTTCCTCTTTTCAACTTGAAGTCCCTTTGTCGTTCTGTAAAAGGACGCTGTATAAGTGGCTTCCAATACCAATTTCCATCCAAATCTGTATTTGCAGATGTTAGTGTAAATTTCAGTGTGCTTTGCCTCCCAAACCTCAACTGGAACAAACCTAAAAACTGAAACCTCTTCTTTGTGTGGATAATTTCTAAGATTTACCCCATTATGTCATTACGTAGGTTCAAAGATGAGGTACCACTTTAGATGTTTTTCTCACTACTTATTGACCTTTTCACATTTTCTGGCCTCACTTTGTTGTTTTTCTTTCCCAACTCTACTATCTATTACGTATTTAATTACTCTCCTAAAGCCTCACAAATACTCAGGGAGTGCAATGAGCTCCCGTCCCTTTCAATCTGTCCTATGCAGCATTCTCACATTGTTTCACATTTCACCAAATAGTTATTTAATAAAAACTACGTACTAGCTATTGTACTATGCAATAAATAAAATCTTGGTAAAATTAACCTAACATTTCATCATATCAGCTCACTAGACTTCAACCAGTCTCCAGTCTCCATAATGACAACATTTCAACCTTAGTTTAACATTTCATTCTCTACAAAGGCCTCCAGAGACACTTGTAGGGATATGGTTATGTCCTTCCCTTTTATCAGCAGTATTGTCATTCCTTTGAGACTTTTCACATGCTTTCCTCCTCTGACTAGACTGCCTTACCTTCCTTCTTGGCTAAAATAAATCCTATGCCTCTTTCAAAGCCAAGGAAAGGCTCACCTCCTCTTTGAAACCTGCCCCATGAACTCATTTCCCATCTGTACATTATTTTCTTTCTTACCTCCTTCCTGGCTAATTACTGCAGGAGTCAAATGGAATAGAATGTTTGTTAATTTGTCTTCTTTACTGCATAGTAGTTCTTTCAGGACAGGGATCAGATTCCATGCTTCTTGTCACTTTCTTTCTCCCTGTGTCTTATACCTTGGGAGAGCAGTGCCTAGTGTAGCCTGTGTTCAGTATCTACTAAGTTAATTGTGGAATACAGGAAGATAATCCCAGGAAAATCATTAGAAGAGTTCCCCTAGATGGAAAGTGTACTCTTTATCAGACAGTGTATTCAACCAGAATTTTAAGGATATCACCTTTGCTGAAGTAATATTAGTGGTATACACTGAATGTTTGTGTCCTCACAAAATTTACGTGTTGAAGCCCTAAATCCTAGGTAGTGATGGGACCTGTAAGGAAGCACCAAAGGCTAAATGAGGTCATGAGGGTAAGCTATGATCTCACAGGATTAATGTACTTATAAGAAGTGATTCTCGGGCTGGGAATTTAGCTCAGTGGCACCACATCTGTCTTGCAAGTGCAAGGTCCTGAGTTCAATCCCTGGAAAAAAAAAAAAAAGGACTACATAGCCCCACCCCAACCCTCACTTGTGCACAAGGAGGTCATATTAGCACACACTAAGAACAACAAGGTCAGAAGTCTGGAAGCCAGGAAAGATCCTTCACCAGAAACTCAATCAGCAACAACTGTACTTATGTACTTTACAGCCTCAGCAACTGTGAGAAATATCTTTTTGTTATTTTCTTTAAGCCTCCTCCTTAGTCCATGGTCTTTTGAAATAGCAGTCCAAATTGACCAATAGAATTAACATTTAACTGTTTAAGAACAATCTCAGAAAATACGTTTTGCCTCGAGGTTAAAAAATGCAGCAAATATTACTAGATATAGCAGCATATGTAACCCTCAGTGTTGCCTAGTGAAGCCCAAAATGCTGAACCAGAAAACAGAGGATCAGAGAACAGAGAGGAGCGATCTACTCAGATCAATATTTGGTTGTGAGACTGCTGTTCAAGCTTAGCCTTCCTGCTTCCCTCAGCACTTTCCCTAGTTTGCCATTCTGACCCTTTTCAAGTCTGTTTTATACAGTTTCCAGGTATGAAAGTGCATCTTAATAATCAAGCAAGAGGGGAAGGGAAAGGATACTTTCAACAAAGTGACTGACAACAGAAACAGTCACAGGGACATGAATGATGCAGATCAGTCCAATGTGAATGCTAACTAGTCCTTGAAAATGCTGACTAGTCCCTGAAAAGTCATGGAGGGGTGTCAGATCTCTCTCAAGATCATATTCGCATGCCTTAACTTATTAATTTCGTCTAATGTGTCGAAGAGGACACCATTTTAGGATGGTCCTACTCTTTGGCCCAAGCTGCATAATTTATGTTCAGGAATATCATTCACTATGAACACCAAATTTGCTGCAAGAATAAGATAGATTGATCTTTGCTACTGACTTTCAGAAGTGTTTCTTTAGCAAAGAAAACTTCCCACACAATATAGTGAATACAATTAAATTTTGATTTGTGTGTGCTATGATGAAAAGGACTAATAGTTTCCATATGGTTTGGAATTGTATCTATAATACATAGCTTCATCATTGACTTGTTTATTGAAAGATGAGAATGATGAAAATCTATGACTCCCACAAAATATCTTTTGGGGAAGATGAACAGGAGAAGAAAAAATTTGAAAAGAATAGAAAAGAACAGTCATTTGGAGCATCATTGAATTCAATAGGATTATAATTACAGAGTTTTTAGTAAAAGACATTAGCAAAAATGTGCTTAACAAGTCATGGCAAAGAATATGCAAAGCATTTTAAAACTTCCTAATCAGGAAGGAGACATCGGAGAATGAACAGTAGACAAGAAGGAATTTAAATTAGTAAAGACTATCAACCTCTCCAAAATTTGCCTGTGGATTTCTCCAGGTAGATGATAAAATCTTGCTCTAAACTAGAAACTACACAAGATGCAAATATTAAATTCTGTGATCACATAAGTATATTTTGACAGTGACCCCAGGAATAACATACAATCATTTGTTGTTTGAGAAAGTCATTTTTTTTAATTTTAAAAGATGTGTCAATATTACTACACAATAGTTATTATAATAAAAGAAACAAAAAAAGATTGTGTTTTAGGACCCCAAAATTAAATTTGCCTATCAACCAAGCTAATTTTTCATGCACATGAACATAAAATTTCTGAAATTTGATATACATGTAGGTGTTTGGGAACATAAATAAAGATAACCCACATGAATATTTTAGTATTGGCATCAATATTTTCATCAGTGTCATTGACACACTTAAATTTGATTTGGGCTCAAAGTCCTTAAACATAAATACTTTACCTTGATATATCAAGTATTTTGTTACTGATTAAAAAAATAAATGTGTTTTAAATATGTCCATGTGCAGAAACATGAGATTTTTCAGAATTCCATTGAATGGAAAAATGTAAAACTGAATAACATACCCAAAGCTTACCTCTCAGCAAGAGTTTGCTGTTCATTGATTCCAACATTAAAAAGTACTGGATAGACATATAGCAACTGCCCTTCTTTGATCTGCAGAGGTAGTGACTCAAACATTCTGGTTGGAAGCTTGACCTCTACCACATAATGTTCACTGAAGAAGGAAAGGGGCAGAGGTAAGAAAATTTGCATATTGAATTTGTTTTTTGTTCTTTTAGAACTAGTGAAAAGAAACAATAAAAGTTGGAATATTGCATTGATGAAGTATTTGGCTGCTCTGTACTAATTTTCTATTCATTCACTCAAGAAATATTCTGTAGTTTCACTATGAAATTAGGTGGTACAAAGAATTGTAAGGATTTGTTTACATGTTTGATTTCTTTACATTACTCATTAGCTCCATGAGGAATATTTGGTTCATTTTTTTAATACTTAGTCTGGGTACACAGTCTCAATGTTTGTTCTCCTGATATTTTAAAAATCCCGTCAGTCTGAAGAATTAGTAATTTAATAAAAGATTCAGTGAGGCCTCATAAACCAGATCATTTATAACATTTCCAGTTGCTACTATTATTGATGAACTGCCCTGTTTGTAATGGCTCGATGAAAACAAAATGGCTTAATTATTTAAGAAGTAACCTTTTGGAATCTTGCTCATTTTGCAACACATACATAACAGAAAAAACTTTTTTATTGGAAATTTCCATTCAAAATTACCTTTAATGTTTAAAGTTAAAATTTTAAATTAGGCGTCATAACATATGTTAGCCAAAGCAGTGGCTTGTATACTTTGAAACTTGACGTGCAATGGAATTGAGTATGAAAAGGTAAAGTGTTTAGCTCAGAAGTGCGGAAGGGCCATATGGTTCTATAATACACAGAGTTGTAGGGTTGTGATGCATGTATTGGGAAAAGGAACACAGGACAAATTGTGAGTCTCTGGGAAAATCTTTTAAATTTCTCCTACTTCTGTATCTATAAGCACTAAGGATCACTGACTCTTAGACTTGCTTTTTCCTAGCTATGAACTAGAGACTTGGCAATGACCGCGAGTCCATCCACAGGGACGTCAGCATTGCCCTCTGGTTGATGGGAGCCTTGTTTTTCTTGTTTAATTGCTCTCAGTGTCCTTTACTGCAGCCCAATAGAAGGCTCATGGTTAATTCAAGCCTTTCAAGAATAGGGAAGCATCACTTTTATTTAGAAGTTTCTCTGATAGTGAAGTGTGTCATAAGAATTTTGTTACAACTTTTTATCAGAGTTATTAAGGCACAACTAACATGAATGCATACATTTTAAGAACATAATTCAGAGTTTTAGAAAATTTACAGCACTGTAATCCATGATCAGAATCCAGTTTTAGAACATTTCTATCACTTTAAAAAGATCTCTCATGCCTGTCACTGCCACACCCACTGTCAGCCCCAGGAAATCTTTTACAGGTTTAATTTTTCTGTGTATTCCATTGAATTGATTCATACAATTTATAATCTTTTCTGTCTGGATTTCCACTTAAGTGTTGAAGTTATTCATGTGTTTTTTATCTTTTCTTTCTGTCTTAGAGCAAGATCCTATTGTATAGGTACATCATGCCACATTTGATCTACGCATTTGTTAGGTGGTAGTTACTTGGATTATTTCATGATTTGGACTATTATAAAAATGTTACTATGAAAATTTAGGCAAAAGTTGTTGTTTGGAAAAATACTTCATTCTGTCTTGCTAACACACCTAGTAAGAGTAACATGGTTTCTTTATATAAAAGAAATTGCTTAAGGTCCCGAGTTTGATCCCCAGTACCAAAAAAGAAAGAAAGAAAGAAAAAAAAAAAAAGAATTTGCTTATTTCCAAAATGGCTGTACCATTTTACATTCCCATAAAGAACATAAGAAAAGTTTCTGGTTTTCCCATGTCATTATTGATACTTGTTATGATTTGATTTTTCAATCTAGTGTAAGTTGGTATCTAATAGTGGTTTTAACTTCCGTCTGTAATGATGTTGTCGCAGTTTAGATCTAACATGATTTTTAGCACTTTGCCTGCATCAGATGATCTGCTAAGTGTCCCTTAAATATCTTGAGAAGAGTGTCAACTTTTCACTTTTGATAATAAAATTCCCAGAAATATACAGAGTTGTATCACTTCACAGCTGCGTATGAGCAATTTCACAGTTTCATTCCTTTTTATGCACGTGTATGTGCGTGTGTGTGTGTGTGTGTGTGTGTGTGTGTGTGTAAGAAACAGTCATCTTTCATTCAACCATGTGGCTTTAGGAATCTTCCACAAAAATATAAAATAATGATTTTATGTTTGCCATAGGTAGGAAAACAAAATTACTATGAACTTTCTTTAGACTATCTCTCTTATCTATCTGAATAATATTCTCCCTTTTGTACACTGCCACCTGAGAGTGTTTTAAATTTTAAACAACCTCATGCATTTTGTAAAAGTGCTAACATTACAATGGCTGAAATTTGAAGAACTTCCGACTGAAACAACTTGCTATAAGACATAATTCTTCTATCGTAGGCTTACATGCCAACATTTCTCTTAATTATTTCTGATATTTTGCCCATCATATATTGACCTTTTAAGCTATTTATTTAAAGCCCTTCTCGGAAATTTCACAGTCTGAGAGTGAATTGTCAAAAATAACGAAGAAAAATGGTGGTATATGCCCTTGACACAGGAATATATTTCTTAAAATGTTGCTGCTTTTAACTGAATTTAATTTAAAGTCATCTCAAAAATTATGAAGCTATTAACTGAACACATCCCATAAAAGTAAAAACACTGAGAGTTTTAAAGTAGATAGAAATAAAGAGAAAAATGTCCTTCTCAAGCAAGTACTATTTTAAATTTCTCATATTCATGGAGGAACATTATCATACTCACCTTACTACAATGCACAAACATTAATGAGACTGTTAAAAGTATTTCAGAACTTTCCACACCAAAAAGAAGAAGAGAACAAAAGAATATTTCCAAAGAAACCCGCATTCTTCTAGGCCCCTTTCTTTGCCAGTGTCAGAGAAACTAGACTTTTTGAAGTGGGCAGCACTCACCGTCTTCCTGTTACAACTGGCAAGACATCATTGGATTTGGCTTCAATTATTTTAAATGCTACTTTCTTCAAGTCAGAAATGCCAACAGCCATGTCCTCTAGCATTCCGATTTCATCACCTAAACAAAGGAAAAGGTGCCTTGGTACAAACACACTATTTAAGGAAAATGTCACCAGCCACTATGCCTCTCTGCTGGAATTTGTTCTAGTATTTTAGTGAACAAGTTTCCAAATACAGCAAATCCATTCTACACATTTTTCTTCATAGGCTGAAGGTTTTCATTGGCAAAAAGAACCCCTTTTAATGAACTCTACAAGTCAATGTACCCTTTAGAGAGGAAGAATGTACACTTTTGCTAGGCAGCTTGAGAGAGATTTTTAACCCCTTCAGGAAGCAAAGCATCATGCAAGCATCTTTTTATTATTTAGTAGGATTGATATTTGATTTCTAGAAACAAAGAGACAAAGAGCTGAGTTGATGATCACTGACCCATGTCCATGAGTATCTAGGTACTGACAAATAAAGCCCTGGAAGCAAATAATTAGGGTTCTAGATCAACACGATCCAAACAGAAACAGAATGCAAGCTCAATGAGTAATTTTAGATTTTCTGGTACTCCTTTTAAAAGAGTAAAACTTTTAAAAAAGTAAAATCCATCTTAACACACTCTGGTCGAATATATTGAAAATGCTATTTCAAATATATATTAATGTGAAATTGTTAATAGAAGATATAAAATATACAAAATATTTTACTAGCCTCTGAGGTTGGGGTGCATGACTAGAACATATTGATTTGGACAGGACACATTTCAAATGCTCCAAAGACACACGAGTGTACTGTGCTGAGCCCTTCAGTTCTAGATCTTACGTGCAGACTTCCAACTCACCATTGAGAGACTATGTTGGCAAAGAGCCTTTTTCACTATAAAGAAAGCTAGATGGCTGCTCAGGAGTCCACAATGAAATAATCCACATTCTATTTTTAAAACATAGCAGGAGCCAAAAGAAGTTAGCAGGTGAATGAATGCAAAAATTAAGTTACATTAGTTTTGTGGTACTTGGTACATCAAAGGTCTACTTACTGTTAAGCTTACCTGAAAAGATGTTTAAATACCCTATGAATGGGATCGTGATTTTTAACTTGTGAGGAAGTAATACTCACTGTACGTGCTCAGCAGTCCCTCATATTGCACTATCAAGCCCACCGTATGCAGCTGCTGCAGGAAGTCAGGGTCATGTAAACTTGTATGCAGTTTGATGATAAAACCACAAACCAATCCAGCAAGCTAAAAAAAAAAAAAAAAAAAAAAGATTATTTAAGGAATTTATTGGGGCCAGAAAGCTCAGGTTTCCAATTTTTAAATATTTTAAGATCTGAGACATTACAGATTTAATAAAAAACTTCTCAAGTATACAGGTGTAGTGGCGCACGCCTATAATCCCGGCACTTGGAAGGCTGAGGCAGGAGGATCGCTGTGAGTTCGAGACCAGCCTGGGCTACATAGTGAGTTCCAAGTCAGTCTCAACTACATAGTGAGACCCTGTCTCAAAAAACCAAAATAAATAAATAAATAAACCCCAAAATTCTCAGGTATGCATAGCAAAGCTACTTCTATTTATATAAATATATCAAGATTAAATTGAGAGTCTTTGACTTAGGAAGGCAGTGTATAAAAAAGGCTTGCAGAAAGCATTGTTGAAAAAGGGTAAATGAATGGATTTTGGAGTCAGAGTGATGGGTCTTCAAATCGTATGTCTACTATTCCTAACAAAGAAACCATAAAAAGTGATCTAGTACTTCCTAATTGTATTATTGTTATTATTTGCACATTAGGAAGACAGAAAATAGCATGGGTTTTCACTGAATGGACACAATGCAAAACACGTGTAAAGGATAACAAGATGTGCAGAGCCTGCTTAGCTCCAGGTTCTACTGGACCCCCCTGAAACAGTGCAGCAGGAAATGGGGAATTTGGTTAATGTGTTCCCCTTCTAAGAAAAATCCACGATGGGAGACTTTTTGTCTCCTCCTTTCCATGGCTCTGTCTAGAAACTCAGCCGGGGTGGAGGCAGGTGAGTATGAGAGACACATCAGCACAGCCCTGTGACAAGCTGGCTTGGCATCATAAATGGGGACAGATGCGAGCAGAGAGCTGATTCTATCAGATCTCCTGTGTGAGTCTTGCTGTGCTGCAAAATTATTCTATATGCAAAATGAGACATTCTTGTGACATCGTGGTTCACGGGGGAATTGAATAAACAAGGAGTTGAAAACAGATCCTCTTTGCCAAGTCCTAGCTTGCTGCCCACTGTGCGAGCCAGCAGACCCTTCCCTGACACTGCAGTCAGACCTCAGGGCTACCTTTTCCTTTATAGACTCCTGCCCTATTTGACAATATGTGCATTTCAGAGATTTGGTCATCTCTTTTTGGAAAGAAAAAAAAATGATATCCACTAGATGTTCAGCTGATAGTCATTAGGAGTAAGAGAAATGGGGAATCAGAACCTAAGAAAAGCTTCTCTTTAAAAAGAAAACTGCCCAAAGCAGGATTCTGTCTGCATCACATAAAAAAAGTGTTAATGATCCAATGCTGTTGGGTACAAGTAAAAAGAACCAGGACCTACCGCTTGACTGAATACGATGTCCCTCCTTAGAGTCAGCATCAGACACTGGGGCAAGCTGTAGGCAAGCTCCTGCAACAGCACGAACGTCAGGGACTGCTTGGCACGACTCACCACTTCTCCCATGCAGTCCTTCAGGGTGAGGATGAGGGGATGCAGCTGTTCATACCAGTCCTCTGGAGGAAGGGTTGGAACAGAGGGATAAAATTGGTCTAGAACTAATTCACTACTTGTTACAGTGTACTGTTTTGTATGTGCAATCCCTAGGTACTATTGAGGATTCATGTAAGCGTTAATCAAGACCTGTGACCTTGAATGAAAGATGAGCCTGTGGGCCATCAAGCTGAGAGGAGACAGCACATCTGGATGTGGCTGGCACCAATTAACAGCTTGGAGCCTGGAAGGAATATAGAAGGGAAAAAAGAAGGAGGTGTGTCTGTTTTGGGGTGCTCTGGTCTTCTTCAGTGGGTGCATTTCACTCTTATTATAGATCTCCAAGTCCCTAGTGTTTTCAGCCTTCCAATACAGACTTCTGACAGGCCTTCTAGTGAACTTCCAGCTTTTGAATTTGGATGAGTGCTGTGGAGTTCTTGATGCCTCTTGTTCTGCAGCTTCCATCTGCTTTGGGCTGAGCAGCTACTGGGTCCCCTGGCTCTCGAGTGAACTGTGGACTCTTCTGTCTCTGGTCCTGTAAGCCTAGCTGATTAAATCCTCTTGCAAAATTACACATGCATTTTCTATTGATTGTTCCTCTAGAGAACCCTCACTAAAACAGCTTCATAGTGATTAGATTTGAAGATCTTTAATTCCAATGACTCCACTGAACTCTAGAAGTCTACAGCCAGCCACTGGGTCTCCACTGGGAAGTGGACAATACAGTTACAGTAGGTCTCCTTTGCACGCTGCTCATCTCCAACCTGGGCACTTCCTTGTGTTGCTACTGGATGGTTCCACTAAACTCTCTTATGCTGGAAACAGAGATGGCACTGACTTCTGTCCTAGATTCCACAGTCACTTGGCCATTAAATTTGTTCTACGTGGTAATAGTCTATCAAACATTCATCTTCTCCTTGCCCTGGGTGATGGTCATTTCTGCTCTTTCTAAGATCACCTCCTTCTCTTCCCTAACAGACCTTGCTTCCTCCGGTCCTAACTGTGCCCAAGCCACTTCTCTATGATACTGCTAGAAGCTTTCTAATCAGTTTGAATCGGACCCATATACTCAGTTCCGATTCCTATAAATCAAAAGGAACCAAAAACAGAAAAAGAAAAACACAACCCGAGCCAAAACAACAGCAGCAGCAACAACAACAAAAAAAGCAACCCCAAAGCATTCAGAATGAACTGCAAACTCACCAAAGGTCCACCATTCCATGAACTCTGCCTACTTGTCCAGTTCTACCACTTAGAACTTTATTTGCAGTCCGGTGTACCAGGCATATTGAAATCTTCCCTGCCCTTTCATTTCAGTATCTGTCTGAGTCATGTTTCCATCTCTGAGACATGATACCCAACATGTGAAGTGAAAGGAAAACTGATTTGGGCTCACATGGGCAGTGGATGATGGTCACTTGGCTCCCAGGCAAGAACAGCAAGGCAGAGGAAATGGCAGAGGAAATGGCAGAGGAAAAAAGGTATTTGCAACACCATGCCAGGAAGCCAAGAAGAAGGGGAGGTGGAGGCAAGGAGATCCCCTTCTAGGTCATGATCCTAGTGATTCCCCTCTAACTACTCACCTCTCAGCAGCAAGTCAGCTACGAACTTAACTGAGGTGTAATCCACTATGGAGTAGAGCACCCCATGATTCAATTGCTTTCCAAACTTATGAGGCTTTGGGGTACAATTTGTATCTAAACTATAACAATTATTTTGGCAAATCTGATTTCATCTTCTAAAATACTTTCTCTGAACTTCCTGATAGATGTTTTATCTTCCCTGAAAACTTAATTCAGGATATCTCACCTCCAGAAGTCTCGATTACCACTATCCCCACCCTCTTCACTGATATTTAGGTTGAATTCACTTCCTTTTGTACCAATTTCTTCTTAACCTTACTTCTAGGAGTAATCACACACTATTTTCCTCTGCAAGCAAGGCAGCTTGCTGATAGAGAGGAATTTACTTTTTTTTTTTTAATTACAGAATCCCCAGAATCTAGCACAGCACCTACTATGTAATAGAACCAGCCAATTTTAATTAAGTGAGTAAAGTTATGACAAATAACAAAAGTCTTTCAACGTACAGATGATGTAAAAAAGTCAATTTTTTGCAGCATTTGGGACTCAAACAGCTTTCATTCAAACAAGGCCAAAATTGACGAGATCTGTGCTATTTATATGCCTAGATTTCTAAAATGTATAAATTACAGTGGTACCTCTGTTCATGAACTTAATTCTTTCCATGATTCTGGTTTCAAACCAAACTGAATGAGAAACAAATCAAATTTCCCCATGAACCTTAACAATGAATTTCATCTGGTTCTTCTCCAGTTTGGTTTTCAACTAGAATAGTGGAAAAAATTAAGCTTGAGAACCAAGATACCACTGTATATAATTATGACTTTGGTATATCACATGAAAACAGATTATATCTATTCCAGTTTATTGCAAGAGCAAAATCCTGACTAGTGTCAAATATGAATTCTGGTCTGTGTGACATTCCATTAATATATAAATAAATTAACAGTAGGGTGAAAATTATGATTTAATAGGAATGAGTGCATGCTACAAAATTATGATGGAAGATTTAAAATGGCATGATCTTCTCTGTACAAAGTGTAAGCATCATCATGAGTGATTTGAGTAGTCATCAACCAGTCAAGACCTTGAAAGAGTTATGGGGAACAATAAAAAGAATCAGAATCACTGTTGTGCCCACTGTCACTTTATTATATGCTGAGGTGCAACAGACTAGCAAGATGGTAGGAAATATAAGGAATGATCTGAACTTAACAAAAAGACACACTTTTATTAACACACAATGCAAATGATTGTGTAATGTTATAGTATAACACACTAGGAACATTAGAGGTTTTTATTTTTAAAACATTCAGACTTAAATGTTATCACAGAAATGAAAAACAAGGGATGTAGAAGCATTAAGTGAAGGCCTTTTAAATCTGTAATCATTTAATAAAGAAACCCTTAGGTATATAGCCTAGGATGAAATATGACCAATGGTTTAATATAAATGAGCACTGGTTAATGATTAATTCATACATCACTGGTGTATGTAAAATAGAAAATTGAGGTACACCATTTATTTTCGTATACACACATCAGTAGATACCAACAAGGAATATCTCATATCTCAACACATTTTTCACATCTACATTCCTTATCCCTCCCCGCCTATCTCCCTGTCTCTAATTGTTGTTGTTAATGTTAAATGGAAGACTAAAACACACAGAAGAAAACAGAAGAAAAATTCCAATAATTGACACAGATGTATATGTCAAAAAACGGCAGATTGCAAACCAACTTTGTTTTTTGTACTTGGCTCTGCAGAGATCAACGTCTACCAAATTCCCAAGCAAAAAATAAAGCTTTTGTGCAGTAGGTGGCACTGCTCCATCAGGCTGCACAGAACCACTCTGTCACTCCATTCAAGCAAGCGATTTTCTTTTTCTTTCCTTGCACCTCAGGCAGCTCCCACACAGCACCTATCTATTATTTGGACAGCTGGCATCACACTGTCCTGTGTCAGGAGGGCCATGCCCTGGTCCTGAGGTGTTGCATTCTCTAGTCTGAAAATAGAACATCGATTTAGATATTCACTTTTCCCCCTTGAAAGATAGATGACAATTCAAATTACATGCAACACTTGGTTTTTCTTGAAGAATTTTGAAAAAGGCAACCTCATATGCTTTATTAGAAGCAGGATAACTTCCTTACTCGAGTCTAAATCTGTTATCACATCCTTAGCCAGTTGATTCTTTATCACAAATTGCAACCAGACAGCTAAAGGGGAGGGTATGGGGAGAGAGAGGGAGGGAGAGAGGGAGGGAGAGAGAGGGAGGAAGGGAGGGAGGGAGAGAGAGAGAGGTATTAGCAATATTCTAGTGCCTTTCTTTATATGTTATGGTTGGTTATATGTTATGGTTATGTATATTATGTTTACAAATATATGTCATGGTTATGCGTAAAGAAGATGATAACATAGGAAAACATTCATTATGGATAAATATTTCATTTTTTATGCATGCTATGGTCTGGATCTGAAATGTCCCTCAAAAACTCATATATCAAAGGCTTGGTCAGTGTTCACATGTGAGGCTTTCAGAAGCTGACTAGACTACGAGAGCCCTTACTACATTAGTGAATAATTCCATTGATGAGTTCAGAGTGTAACAGTTGTGTTGAAAGTCAGTGGAAACTTTAGAGGTGGAGCCTAGTTGGAGGAAGTAGGTCATTGGGGGCTACCCTTGCTCCTGCCACACTCCCTCTTTCTGTTTCTTAGCTGCCATAGGCTGAGCAGCTTCACCCCTCATGTCCTCCCTGCCATGATGCTCTGCTTCCAAAAGCAGGCTCAGAAACAACCATGGACTGAGCCTCTAAAAATTTGAGTCAAAATAAATCTTTCTTCTCTGAAGTTGATTTTCTCTGGTATTTTGTCACAGCAACGAAAAGCTGACTAACACAGTGAGCAAGGTAAAATATCCTCAAGACAAGCTGTGAGATTAAGACAGTAGTAAGCTTCCTATGGAGTAGCATAAATGACTAAGCTAAAGATACATATTTTCCCAAAAGAGACAATTAAGTAAATTCTCCAGATAAAAGGAAACTGCATGAAATGCAAGTTCCAATGACTACACACTTTCTTCTCCAGCCATACTCACTCATGTTTTGAAATAAACACATTGGGATATGACAGGCCAAAGAAAGGCTGTGGTCCATTCATAAATGGTCTTTTGCTCCAGTGAATATTCTAAATCATTCTCGTAAAGGAACAGAAAATGGTTTCATTTTTTTCTTTAAAAATGTTTTTTGGGAAAGACAAATGCTCCAGCTCTTCACAGTCTTGAGAGGGCTCCCACTTGTATGCTTCCACACCCCACCATTTACATGGTGTTTGTTTTACCCTCCAGATAAAGCTGTTTTCTGTTTTCTGAAGGTTAAGGATGAAAACAGCATTAATTCTGCATTATGTGGTAAAGTAAATTCTAAAACAGACATAC